CCTGTTTTATTCTTGTGCAAACAGATATCCAATTTTGCCAGCACCATTTGCTAAAGAGACTATCTCTTCCCCCATTTAATGAGTATCGGCCCTTTGCAAAGATCCATTGTCTATAGGTGGATGGAGTTACCTTTGGAATCTAAATTCTGTTCCACTGGTCTATGTATTTATCCTATGAGTACCGAACTGTTTTGACTACCTTGGCTGTGTAATAGATTTTGAAATCAGTTCCTCTTTAGTAGTGCTTTGGAAAACCAACTATCCCATTGCACTAACTTAGCACCTTCTACTTCTGTTTCTGTCCTCAGAGCCCAGCCCAGATCACTCTGATAAACTCAGTCTGTCGGGCCATCCATTCTGAGAAAAAACAAAAACAAAATGTAATAGTGCTTGACAAAGCTAGATTCAACCAGGTCTTCCAAGACTAAAATCTACCAGTAATTTTTGTTTGGTTGGTTGGTTGGTTGATTTGATTTGTTGTTTGCTTGTTTTTATTTTAATACGATTCTAGAAATAAATCTCTTAGCTAAGAATGATAGTGAACTATTCTCTAGAAAAATCTTTTCTAGTCATACAATTTCCCTACTCAGAAATCCCTTGAAACTGATTTCCCCATATAGCCATTACGATCCTATAAAAAACAGAATATTTTGTTTTGAAAGATAGTAACTTCCACACCAGAACTTTTGAAAGCTTTACCAACTTCCCAGTCTTCTTGTGAGCGTACTTACTGTTGTGCTATTTGTTGCCAAGACTTTCACTCAAGATCCTTGCAGTACTTGATGAGAATTATAAGCATTAGACTTAAGACACAGTTAAGAGGGTGGCGATTATTATCAAAATGTAAGAATCACAAGGTTCTCAATTAAAATAATGTCTAATTGAAGGGAAATGTTCAGACTTGTCAAGATAGATGGAAAACACTATTTATAATGAAATTTGATGATGTATAGGAGAGAGTTTTAACTATGTTTTAAATTGGATTTTTACTTCATGAGCTTGTTTGCTGCTGAAAGTCAACCTGAGAACTTAAAAGGATGAAGCAAGTCAAAAGCTAACCTGAGAAAAATTATAAACCAAATCGGAGCAACAAGAGTAATTCTATTGGGTAATAACCCAATGAACAAAATAAATACCAATGATTCCATACTGACATAAATAAGTAATTGAAGAAATGTGAGGCACAAGGAACAAATAGTCCTTACAGAAGAATTCCAAAGAGCACATGTAGAAGGAATGTGGGAAATAGAGGTGGATCATTAGAACATCATAGTAGTCACTGCTACAGGCAAGATCCATGGATGAAGGCTATGATCAGTGGGCAAAGAATTAAGAAGAGACAGGACAACTGCAGAGCCACAAAGTATTTCCAGCAAATATTCATCATCATATATTTTTTATGCAGTTTTTGTGGTAAAATTAGGTGCCTTGGCTGATATTCGGGTTGGCTCATACTCAAGTATATATGGTAATGTCTGTGGCGTTCCAAAATTCCTTGGTATTCTCTCCTCATGGAGATGGAGTTTAATTCTCTCTTCTTGAGTGATGGCTACTCTTAGTGACTCCCTTATAAAAAACAGCAACCTAAGAAAAACCTCAACCAAATGATAAAGGTTAACATCACCAGGAAAAAATGGTGGAGCTATCACTTCATGAGATGTCATGACAGGCTGCGATGAGATCACGTTACCTCTGTGTTGCTCTTCCCTAATATCCGCAACTTCAGTCTAGCTAGTCATGAAGTTACCGGTGTTTTCATTCTACTTGAATCAATGGAGCCCATGGAAGCCGCGATCAAGAAATCAAATGACATAACTGCAATGGACAAGCCTATCACAAAAGAACTGTTTCAGGGGTTTAAAAAGCAGGAAGAATAAGAAAGATTGCTGGGAACTAAGCACCTCCTTTGGACCAGGGGTTCCTGTGCTGGGAGCCAGCTAGACCCAGAGAATGACTGACACAGAGACACATGGGAACCTCCAAGAGGCACTCGGCTCACAGGTGTTGAAAAGAGAAAAAAAGACCGTCCTCCATAGTTGACACGAGGAGAAAGAGCCAGCTCCTCCAACCTTCTAGCTTCCTAACCAAAGAAGAACGGACGCACTTGACTCACGGTGTGGACACTTGAACGTGCCATGGACTGCCAAAAGAATAAACAAATTGGTCTTGGAAGAAGTACCGCCAGAATGCTCCTTAGAAGCAAGGCTGGTGAAACTTTGTCTCACGTACTTTGGACACATTATCAGGAGAGGTCAGTCCCTGGAGAAGAACATCATACTTCATAAGGTAGAAGGGCAGTGAAATAGAGGAAGGTGTCTCAACACGATGGACTGACACAGTGGCTACAACAGGGGCTCAAAGACAGAAGGACCATTTACAGGGCAGTGCTTCCCTCTGTCGTGCAGATGGTTGCTATGGGTCTGTACCAGCTCAACAGCACTTAGCAACAACCATGAGAGAATGAATTTGTTAAAGCCAAAGCAAAACAAAAAGAAGTTGTGAAAAGCAACGATGTCATTTTGATGACAAAAGGTGATCTGACCCAAAGGTCATCTTCTCTCTCTTAATATGCGCGCAAAAGTCGGATGGTGAAAAAATGATGGCAGAAGAATTGATGCCTTCAAATTATGATATTGGAGAAGAAAACAATCTATCATAGATTACCAAAAGGATGAAGAGATCAGTCTTAGAAGAAATATGATCAGAATGCACCTCAGAAGTGAGGATGGTGAAATTGTAAATTGCCTACTTTGGACACATCATCCTGAAAAACCAAGCTTCTAAAAAGAACATCACATTTGGCACATAGTTAATGAAAAAATGGGCCACGCTCAATGAGATGTATTAGCACAATCGCCACAACAATGGGTTCCAACATGCCAAAGATCATGGATGATGGAGAACTAAGCAATATTTGGTTCTGTTCTAACTAGGGTCTCCAAAGGTCAAAGTCCATTCCACAACAACTAACAATAACAACACCATGAGAAAACACAGACAGTAACACCATGAGAAAACACAGACAGTAACAACACCATGAGAAAACACAGACAGTAACAACACCATGAGAAAACACAGACAGTAACAACACCATGAGAAAACACAGACAGTAACAACACCGTGAGA